CAGGTCATCTGTATATATAATATCTTATTGTGCGTGTATTTAATGAATTCCCTATTATGCACAAGTAGCTTGTCTCTAGGTTTTTGTTATATAAGCAATGCTATAATAGACATCTAAAGGAGAAATGTAAAGATTGGAATTAGTCAATTGTGTAAAAGTAGCACAATTATATAACTGATTAAATATATTTTTTATATTTAACATTATGCTTTATATATCAAAGTTTTTTCAACATTTCGCAAAATTCACTCTATAAATGATTTGTGCTATAACAGATTTTGCAGACACTGGATCAATATTTATACTAAATTCCCTTCACATTTAAAAAAATTTAATGAAGGAATATGACTAGTGATGCCTCATTTATACTAAAGATAGGGAAAGAAGATATATAATTCAAATGTAAGAGATGGCTGAGCTTACTCTGAATTCTTACCAGACATTGGAGCTACAAATTGTGCCATGTCTTTAACCAACAATCCTAATACAAGGCTTACCAAATGTCTGAGTTTAGAAAAGAAGAAATTAAAGAATGTCTTGTTTTATTCTGAAGTCAGAATAACACTCCTTTTTCTTTTAGGTTCTACATTACAGATTTTTTTGCCTGATTTGAATTTTGCTTTTAGAATGTGGAACCCAAAGAAGAAATTCTAATAAGGATCTCACCGATGCCAGCTACAGTTAGATGATTATTTCATGGTTTTGCTAGATGCATTAATCTACCTGTTATCAATTATGCTAGGAGATAGGGATGTCAGTCTCTTCTTATTTAAAAAGGAGTAAAAAATCCAATGAGACTGCTGCTGTGGAAAGAAGGGCACTTGAGAAAAATGCCTCCTAAATTTTAAGTAAATTACTAGTTTTGATTTGTACTTAGCACACCACTACATCTTGTCATTGGTAGTTGAATGAGCAACTTCAATAACCAGGCCTGATTCTCTGGTTCAATTAAACTGGGGTCCCCTTAATGAAAATAAGATCACCAGATCTCACAGTCCTCTGCAGACTCTCATTAGCTAACATGCACCAGGAATTGACAAAGTGAACAGTGCAAATGTGTGGTAACACTGGCTTGATGGAAACACAATTATTTTATTCATTTCATTAAATTGTCTTGATCAAGTTATATGACATTCAAAAAAATGTACTCTAAAACAGAAGTTTCCATGTTTCCTGTTTTGCTTGGGTGAACGTGCTAGAAAGCATCCATAGGAAACAGGTGCTTCTTCCTGTAGTGGCTTCTTGGGATCTCTGAATATGTGCATTTATAATGAAATATCACAATTTACATGAGTAATGTACAGTCAATTACAAGAGCACACAGTCATTTCTCATGCAATTCAAATCTCATCATGGGGAGCCCATTTGTTTTCTTTAGAAAGACACAAACACACAGAGTTCAAATGAAGAAGTATCTCCTGGCTTTTCCACAATTAAAAAGTCTGTCTTTGGGCGCTACCCATTAGCTATACCTTTCAAATAAAATACCTTACCCAGAAAACAATTCTTCTTATATTCATTAATAGTAAGCTTCAACGCCCACAAATGTCAAAATTAGCATTTGAAAATTATTTATAGAAAAAGCATTTATAGAAAATTATTTACTATTTTATACAATCATTTTGTATAAAATTATACAAAGTTCAATGTATGTTCATGTAATCTTAGCTGCCATATATGAGCAATGAGATTTACTTAAGAGGAACAATCAGAAACCCCATGGCTATAAATGAATATAAATATAACTAAGATTTCAAAGGGCAGAAGAAATATGCTATTAGATGGCTATTATTAATTTTCTGTATAGACGACTCAAGTTAACTCTTATTATGCATTGAGATCCCATTGATGGAATTTGCAAAATATAAACTAATATTCTATTGTACAAGTTGAGATCAAATATGGCCTATGAAAAAGTTTGTTTAATTATAATATTGAATTAATGATGCAATTAATATTTATTCAAACTCCTCTTTAATCTCAGGCATTATGAGTGCCCTTGAATTTTAAATAAAATAAAAAAAGATATTTAAAAAACCTGGATATAAACTTGCATTTTCATTTAAAGGCATAAAAAATTCTTAAAACATTAAGCTACAGAGAAGAAAAATAGAGCAATTACAGTCGCAGAGTTATCTTTACAGCTTAGTCATTTCTGTTACTGAAAGCTATCACACACAGCCTATTAGGTACAGACAGAGTGTTGGACTATTGAAAACGCTCTTACTCATTTCATTCTGTGGCGAATCTCCCATTAAGATTGAATTGTGACCCAAAGTGTTTACAGTGCTGTCTGGGTAGTAAGATTTTTTTTCATCCTTTTATTTACTTTCTGAAGGTCCTTTAATGAACATGGATTGTATATGTTCTCTCTTTTTCTCACCCTTCTCTGTCTAAAGATAGTATATATAATAAACATACAAATTCTCACTACCTGTGCCCTCATTGCTTTCAAAAAGTCCTGTCTAAAGTTGGCAATTGTAGAGGCAGGTGATGGAGCCATGGGGTTCATTATGTATTCTCTCTACTGTTCTGTAAGTTTGGAAATTTCATAATAAAAATGTAATGCCTATTTTCCCACAGTCCTCTGCCAGGGTTTTAATGAAAAATTCCCAATGCTCCAGGAATATACAATTTAGGACATGTAATGCTGATGAGGATTCCCATACAGAAAATTCACTAGAATAAATACAGAATATATATACAGAGAGAGCAAAATTGAGTCCATTTTTCTAACCCATTCATTTCAACATGGTTATCTCCTTTTTCCTGTTTCCACTTTGACCTCTCTGAGACTTTGACCACTCTCTCTTCTCCATCTGTTATCCGAGAATCACCAAGTCCTGCCAGTCATTCCCCTGCAGTTTCTCTCAGGGTCATGACTTTTCACTTTGACAGCCTCTTGTCATTTTATGCCTACATTGCTACAAAGAACATCTTAGCTGTAATCCTTAATTTCTGGTCTCACTTGACTTAAAAATTAATCTTGAATCCTGATGTCAAATTCAACTTCCTAAAAAGGAAGTCATCATTCCTCTATTTTAGAAACATGAGACACACTCTTCTTGTATTCTGCCAAAACAGCCATCCTCCTTACTCAGGCCATTGCTCTTCTTAATCCCTCAATAAACTCATCATGCATTTGGCTGTCTCCTTATCTTTGCTCAGTCTTCTGCACCATCTTACATGCCCATAAATCTTATATTTATCTATTATAGACACTTCTACAAGTATATATCGAATACTTTCAAGATTTACTTCCTACATAAGTGTCCTATTGTGACCATCATTTAACTGTCCTCTGAATTACTTCCGTGTTTGTGTCATCTAAACCACAAGAACTTTGTGGTGATAAGTGATCCAGTGGTTCTCAACCCTGGCTGCACATTAGAATCACTGGGGGAGTAAAAACAAAACAAAAAAATCCATCCCAAGCCAATTAAACCAGAATCTCTGGGGATGAAGCATAGACATTAAGAAAGAAAATCACATCAGTTATTTTTTAAATGTCTTGGGTGATCCTAATATACAGGAAGTTGAGAACTGCTCATCTAAATAATACAAGGCTTCTTGATTTGCAAGTACTATTCATTCATTTGGTCAATAGCTATGGGTATTTATTATAGCGACAGAAAACAGGAAGCCCTGGCATGTTTCGTTAGGCTCATAGAATGTTTTTAAAAAAAATTTAGACTTTAGATGATATTTTAAAATTTGGAGAATTATCACAAACATTGGGATATCCAGTCTTGAAAAAAAAAAAAAAGGGAAGATCTGGTGAGACTGGGCCTGCCTTCTTGCAAGGCAACACTTGTCTGGAACTGAATGGCTTATACTCCTTCTAGACTGAGAATGAGCTTCTAGTTTGCTGCAGTCCTCACCACTCCCTACAGCTCCCTCACAGGGCTGAGTGTTAATGGCTATTTACTGTATCATTTGCATTTAATGTTACTATTTTAGTAGTAGAGAACAATTTCTTTTAAGCACAATCTCACTCCTCTTCCTTAATTGGTCCCTCCACTCCCAATAAGACTCACTGTTGAAGTAGAAAATGTTTCTACGTGTCAACTATCCAGGCGTCCAGCCCACTTTATTTATCTGACTGGCTTCACTAGTAATTTGAGTTTGCAAATTACTTGGCCTGGTATATGGCAAGTACTGTGTTAGAAGCTACAGTGCCCCTTTTGGAGGAAATTGCACTAATTGGGGGAATGTAAACAATTTAAAAAGTATCACAAAAAAGAAAAGGAAAAAAGTCATGGGAAGAGAATAATGCTTGTTAGAATTGGGGAAGGCTGTATAAAAGAGGTAGCATTTCAACTGGATCTAGAAAGATGAATGGGGAGTTTATCCAGGCAGAAGGGCAAGGAAGCCATTGTAGGTCAATGAAACAGCAATCCCAAAACATGAACATGTGAAAGCCTGCAGAATGGTCAGAAAATCACATGTGGGAATGAGAGAAAGGTGTCTGCGGATGAAACTGTGGAGTAAGTTTGGGACTAGGTGGCTTTGTGTGAGTGCCCAAGGGTTTTTCATGTTGCCTTCTAAGACAGTGGGAAAGGCATTAAAAGTCTAATTAAAGAGTGACATGATCACATTTCTATTTCCATTATCAGAAAGACAATTCTGGCAGCAATGTGGACATTAACTGGGAGGCTAAGGTTAGTGACAGTGGGGACCTGAGCAATGGAAGTAACAGCAGGATAGAAGAAGAGATGGATCTGAGAGATGTTTAGGAGGTATAATTGGTAGGACATGGAAGTATATAGGAAAAGGAGAGGAATAATTAAGGATGTTTTGATAAATCATGTAAAAAATCCAGAAAATATTTTAGTTGCTAAAGAGAAATTTAAAATAATTATTTATCACTGACATGAGTCAATGTTAAAGTGACTTAATATTTAACTTCAAGCTATACAGCATCATTGCAAGGCTTTCCCGCACCCCCTTTTTTTGTCTTACAAATAAATATGCTTATGAATTAGGTGCTGAATGCATACCTGATTCTGCTGAATTTAGAGGATGACCTCCAAATTTGATTTCAGGTTGGCGGAATTTAGTCATGTTTAGCAGCTGTGTGACTTGTGGAACATCTGTTGTTAGTTGGCAGCTTCGTGGAATAATATCTGTAGGCTCATCTGTTGGAAAGGGAATACCATGTCCAGCTAGAAATAAAGGCAAACACATTCATTTCTAAAATGTAAGCCATTTCTGCCAAACGGATATATCTTATAAATGAAACCAATTAAAATAAATCATTTTAGAATATGACTTTGGATTACTCAACCGTAATTACAGCCTTGGTCTTCTCATCTGTAAAATGAGCATGATAATTTTACCATTTACTTTCAAGGACTGTAGAAACGATTAAATGAGATGAAGTAGGGATATAACATATGGAGCAGGTCCAGAGACTTGTGCAATAAAGAACAACATTCACTGGAAATATTTTATATTTTCTTTTCGATACTAGAGTGTAACTTGAGAGAGCTAGTTAGGCACCGTCCAATGAAAATTCCTGGGAGTACCTTGGCTTTTTTTATACAAGATCAATAAATACAATGACATTATTGAATAAGCACCTACGACCATTATATGAGTAAATTTTTAACTTTTCATTTTGAAATAACTTTAGATCTACAGAAGTTACAAAAATTGCACAGTTCATATATACCCTTTACCCATCTTCCCCTAATGTTAATATCTAACCTTTGAATAATTTCAAAGAAAAAGCAGTTATAATCAAAATATTATTATCTGTATTTCTAATGAGATTTGATGTTGTTCATATATATTTATATGGATGCTTAAATTTTCATTTTAGTAAATTTTTTGTTCATGTTCTTAAACCATTTTACTATTAGAACATTTTTTTCTCATTTATTTGTATAACCTCTTTTATAGCAAAGATATTAAGCCGTGTAATATGTAGCAAGTAGGAATAAGATAGAAATTAGCATTCCAAAAAGCAATTTTACTATATGTATCAAAAGCCTTAAAAATGAACATGCCATTTTAATCAGTAATTTCACTTTATGGATTTATCTTAAAGCAAAAAAAATTAGAAACTCAAACGAAGATCTATATAAATAGGCATTTATAATTTCTGAAAAATAAACAGCTTGAATTTGCAGTAAAGAGTCAGAAGAAATTGTATTTATGAAGATGGCTTAATGATATGGGAAAGGCTCAAGATAAAAAGTTAAATGAAAATAATATATACGAAAACTGTATCTCAACTGTAGAAAATCAAGAAATAAAATGTATGAATGACAAAAAGACTAGAAGGAAATATACCAAAGAGTAAAATAAGTTTTGACGATTAGCTTAAGCATAGTTTTTATTTTATTCTTTACAAAAATTTTAGAATCTAGTGGAAAAAATTTGTTTGTGTATGTGTGAACGTGAGTAGTAAGGAAAATTCAGCCAATCATCCCTCAGAAAGCATCGTATGTAAGCATAAACTCTAACCACATTTATAAAGGCCAAATGATGTTAGGTTTATGTGCACCCAAGTCATGGCAGTTTCCTAATTAGATCCTAATGTCCTAATCTTGAAAAGGAAAATGAATCATTTAACTAAAAACTTAAATACTCATCAGCCATATAATAGTTTCTAAGTGTCCTAATGCTCCAGTCATTAAAAACCCACCAGATTTACTAATCTTAGTCTTCAGGTGTTCTTTATCTGTCCATTTCTAAATGTCACTGACATTTAGAAAAATTAATATAAAGTAACTGAGTAACTGAACTCTCAAAATAGAAAACATTTAGAAACACAACTTATTCCAGATATATATTTGACACATTCAAACTCCTCTGTGGTAGAAAAAGATAATTTCCACATCAATGCCAATATTGACAAACTAAGATTTTATATTAAAAGAGGAAGATAATTCTGTAGGCTAATAAGACCCTGAAATAAAATGCTATATTCTGAATCCTATAAAAAAAAATCACGGAAACTTTAGCTTAGAGGGCTTGTGTAGACGGTACATGGTACAATGTCATACAAAGTTTGAAATATGTCTAAGACAAAACCTGAGTTTCCAACAAACAAGGGACAGACAGCAAATCCTGGTAACCAAAAATCCATAAACTTTTATGGAAGACAGAACGAGGCAGAGACTAAACTCCAATCTGAATCTTATACGAATGTGGTTGACATGCAAATCAGATTTCACATTAAAAGGCTCAAATCCCCTCTGCATCAACTTCCCTTTCTATGTATCCACTCTCCCTTTGCACCCAGAACTGTTTCACTACTTATTGGATTATTATTTGAGGGAAACTGTGGGCAGTATGAAACCTTCAATAAAAGAGGAAATAAAAAAAATGATTGGTTTATTTTAAAATAAAAACTAATCATTGATACCATTTAATTTAGCAACTACTGATTCACAAACTTGCTCTGTGACTGTGGAATAGTACATGGAAAGGGGCCTTAGTCTCATATTTGTGAAACCAACCTATGACGGAGCTTTACGACCTAGCAGTTGGCTGCTGTGTTGGAAGTTAACATCTCCCACCACACACTTCATCATCACTAACTCCCTCCTCCCATGTCCAATGACTAGGTAATTTTATTTTATTTTTTAGCATTTACAGCTTAATTTAAAAATAAGAATTCTGAAAACAGCATAGATCATACAGCAAAAATTAAATAATGCTAAACTGTGAGTACATGTTCATGCACTCATTCACTCATTTTACATTCCAGCAAATACTTATTGAGTCTCTGCTACGTGCCAAGCACTTATCTAGTGGCTGGAAATTCAGTGGTGACTCAGAGTGATTCTGTGTTGGCCTTCTTAGCACTTATACCTAGTACAGAATAGGAAATAAATCACATCATAAATAACTGTTTAATTATAATTTTGTTAAGTGCGCTGAAGGAAAAGTTCAAGGTACCATGAAAGAGGTAACAGGGGAAATCTACCAGCATAGGGTATCAGGGAACGTCTTCTCTGATAGACATTTGAGCTGAGTCATAATGGATAAGTAGAAAGTGATCTGGTAAAATGGGGTGGGAGTGATCACTCAGGTGAAGGGAACAGAGCATTTGAAGACTCTGAAAGCAGAAGGACTCTGGTGCATTCTACAATAGGAACTGAAAGAAAGACAATTCTGCCACAGGGTTGCTAGCATGGAAGAGAATGGTGGGAGAATCCCAATGATATATTTATTATAGCATCTGGTTCAAAGGGGATGCTCAACAAATGGTCATGGACAAAAGCCCCTTCATAACAGCTGACCTAGAGTAAACACAGCTGCCAAGTCTTCCACTGTTCTTCTTTGGTTGTTCTTCATTCAGCTATATCCTGAAAAGTACTCCATGCACATTTCACTTGGCTATCATCACATCTTTCTTACCAGGTGGCAAATAACAAATCAAGCTGGCAATCAGATCTTAAGGGACCAGGGCCTGTCTGCATTGTTCTTTCAGACAAATTCCATCTTCTGAAACAGAATGTGTATGGAAACATGCAGACTGCTTAATTAATGTCTGAAAAATGACATAGTTGAATTTCAACTGCTTTTGTTAACAAATCTGGAAGAACATAATGTTGGCGGGAATGGTCAGCTCAGAATTGCAAAATGGAATTGAAGGAGAAGGCTATGAGAAAGTGACAGGTTTGCTCATGTAGCATCCAAACACAACCAGATGGTGGGTTTTTTTGATGTCTTTGCTCCCTGTATATGTTGGTGTATTATTAGAATGTTTGAGTGACTTTGTAACCCCGTTCACCTTTCTTTGGCCATAAAGCTGTCGTAAAATGAACCATTCCATAGGTATTTAATACCTTTGATGAGGATCTTAACTAGCTTTAAAAATTAAGTCATCAATTTTAATACGCATATAAAGAGCTTTATGCATTAAAAATCATCATCCCCATTTTATGGGGAGGAGGACTTGTAAAATAGTAAGATTTATAGATCTGTTTCAGTTATGGCTTCTCCCAACTCATACAGTTTAAATAAAGACTAATTTTATAATAGTTCACTGGTCCTAGACTCATTTATATTCATCTTATTTATAAGCGAATAGCCTGCAGTGCCTAGCACAGCACCTTATTTATTTATTTATTGTTAGTTTCAGGTGTACAGAACAATGCAATAGTTATCCTTTTCACCCCTCACAAAGTAACAACCCCCTCCCCCCATCTACTGCCTTCCCACCCCCGATATCATGCTTATCTATTACAATTCCATTAACTCCATTCCCACTCTCTACACCATGTCCCGTGACTATATGTATATATAATTATAGTTGATATACATTATTATTCAACACAGCTTCAGATATACAGTGCGGTGGTCAGGTGGACACCTATGAAGTGATCTCCCTAACAAGACATGAGTCCATCTGGCCCCCTAAAAAATATTTACAACATTATTGATTATATTCCCCAGACTGTCTTTTCTAT